TGGGCTTCGGAGGTCCGCCATGACCGCGGCGGTGTTCTTTGGCTGCGCCTTCATTGCCTTCGGGCCTGCGCTCGCTCTCTACATCTTCACCATCGCAACCGACCCGTTGCGCGTCATCTTCCTCATCGCCGGGTGAGGCGGTTACGCAGGGGAAAACCTGGAAGTCCGGGGCTCGCTTCCCCTCCTCCCCCCCATCCCTCCTTCCCTCCCCTCTTCCCTCCCCACCGCCCCCGGGGCACCTGCGACCTTTGGCGGGCTGCGAGTTCGAGCTCCTTGGGCTCCCGGGAGGCTGAGGAGGGCGGAGCGGAGACCCGTTCCCGCCGAGGCTCGTAGCCCTCGGCTGCGGGGAGGGGGAGGCCCGGGGCGGGGAGACCCCGGCGGGGGCCCCGAACCCCTGGTGTTTGGCAGGCTTGTGGGCTGCGAAGCCTCTGAAGAGTGATACGTGTGAGTACATCCATATGTGTACCTCCCCCCCCCCCCCCCGCTTTTTTGTTCCTGTCAGTGGTGGGCTTTGAACTCTGGGCCTGGGCGCTGTCCCCCCCCCCCCCCCCCCCAGCTCTTTCTGCTCAAGGCTAGCACTCTGCCACTTTGAGCCACAGCTCCACTTCCGGTTTCCTGGGGGGGTGGGGGGGATATTTGGAGATGAGTATCACGGACTTTTCTGCCAGGGCTGGCTTTGAACTGCCCATCCTCAGATCTCTCAGCCTTCCCGAGTGGTCAGGATTACAGGTGTGAGCCACTGGCACGCCCAGCTACCCTTTCATTTTTGTGGAGGAAGAGGTGGTCTCCTATTTCCCTCAGTTCTCAATGACGTCTGTAATTCCCCACCGGGCGAAAGAGCCATGTAGAGTCTTGGGGCAGTAGTTTTCCTTCTCTGCCAGTGAGAATCACCTGGGAACCAGATGGTGCCAGCATCTGCCCGTGGCCTACCTCAGATCCTCTGAACTACAATGGGTAGGGGGTGAGGTTCAGGCTCAGATTGTCTTCAAACCTTCCAGGTGGCTCAGGTGCTCCTCTGATGGGTGGAAACCTAAGAAAACACTGACATATCTGATCCTGCTTTGCAAACACTCAACTCTGATGGTGAATGTGGTCACTGTCTGAGCTTTCAGGCAAATGAGAGCATGCCCCTTCTACTTACACCCCAACAGGCTGGGTGGCTAGCTGTGATCCCGGTATTTTTGAGCTGCTTCACCTCCCACACCCCTGTAGAAAAGAACTATACCTGGCATGTGTCATTTGAAAAAGCACTATGAGATTTGGGCTAATGGTTTATAATACTATAACCATTAAAATCCATCCTGGATTGTTAAAAGAATTGAGCCCAGAAAGCTGTTTGGTTGTGGGGTAGGGCTAATGCAGAATGTGAATGAGGATGAATGTGGTTGTTGTAGGTCATTTGCATGGATGAAAATAGATCAATGAAATCTGTGGAAATTGTTCAAAGTGGAGCTAGGCTCCTGTGGCTCACACCTCCTAACTACTCAGGTGACCTGAGATATGAGGATCTCAGTTTGGAGCCAGCTATTAAGACTTAATCTCCAATTAAGCACCAAAAAGCTGGAAGCCGTAGAGCATTAACTTTGAGCAGAAAAGGCTAAAGGATGGCACTCAGACCCTGAGTTCAAACCCAGTACCAATGCAGAAAGTGGGGGGAGAGAGAAGGTGGAGGGCATAGGGAAGAAGAGAGGGGAGAGAAGAGAGAGGATGGGGGGGGGGGCGTAACAGTAGGTGAAAAACTGATTAAGACACATGTATACATTCATAAAATATCATGAAACCTACTTGTTGCACAAACAAATAATATATGCTAATTAAAAAGAATTGGGATCTTTGGGTTGAGAAGGTGGCTCAGTGGTAGAGCGCTTGCCTTGCATGCATGAGGCCCTGGGTTCGATTCCTCAGCACCACATAAGCAAAAAGAAAGAAGCTGGAAGTGGTGCTGTGGCTCAAGTGGTAGAGCACTAGCCTTGAGCTGAAGAGCTGAGGAACAGTGCCCAGGCCCAGAGTTCAGGCCCCACGACCGGACCCAAAATAAAAAAAAAAAAAGAATTGGGATCTAGAGCAAAGTGTAGGGTTTTAACTTCTGAATTTTATAGCACACACTAATTTATTTTTTCTGGAAAAGACACAGCTTTGTGGATACCTGACCTTTATAACTTCTGGTAGGTTTTAATAGTCACAGATTGTGTACTTCATTGTTTTGGCACCACAACAAGCAAAGCATCAGGAAAAGTAAGTTTCCAGCTAGATGCAGGTAGTCTGCCCTTGAACATCCCCTGGTCACTGAGAGCAAGAAATTATTGGGCAGGCCTCACATTTCCCTTGGACCACATGTTTCTCACTGAGAAAAATGTATCATTGGTTAAGGGCAACTGATCAAGAACACCACTATAAGGATTTTTTTCCTCTTATAGAAAAATCTAAGCTTGGCACTGTGGCTCAGGCCTATCTTCCTAGCTACCCAAGAGACTGAGATCTGAGGATCAGAGTTTGAAGCCCAGACAGAAAACTCCTCTAGACTCACCTCCAATTAATTGTCAAAAACCAAGAAGTGGAACTGTGGCTCAAGTGATAGAGTGTCAGACTTGTATGGAAAAGCCAAGTGAGAGTATAAGGCCCTGAGTCGAAGTCCCAGTACTGACATGCATACACGTGCAAAATCTATTCTTTCTCAAGCAGAGTTTTGCTCTTTTGAGTCATTATTAATACTGTTAGTTCACTTGTAACTTTTGTTTTTCTTTTAAGAGCTTTCTTCTGGTTGGTCTCTCTACTTCTTTCGTCCATTTTTTGGTTCATAGCAAGACTCACAAATGACAATGAAGATGGCCCAGTACAGAAATATCTGCTCATCTTTGGAGTGTTACTTTCTGTCATTGTCCAAGAAATTTTCCGGCTTGCATACTACAGACTTTTAAAGTAAGTTCAGTGCTTTATCTTACCTTTTTTTTTTTAATCAATTAGATTTGAATTGTGATTTGATCACTTTAAAGATTAAATAGCCTGTGGTATTTCAGGGTTTGTCCTTTCCGATATAATTCTAAACAAAGGCATTAGCACATTCCCAACTCCAAAATACTATTTTAACTTAAAGAAATTCTTTGCCAACTTCCTTTCAAAAATATTGAAGAATTTACTTTCTTGGAGTACTTGGGATTGAACTCAAGGCCTCCCAGTTGCTAGACAGGTGCACTTGAGCCATACATCCAGATCCTTTTTGCATTGGTTATTTTTGATATAGTCTCCCTTCATGAGCAGGTAGCCTTGCTGAGATCTTTCTACTTACACTTCCCTGTGCCAGTTGGGATAACAGGTGCATGCCACTGTGCCAGCCATTTTGCTTCCCTATATAGCTGGGATGACAGGGGCATGCCACCATAAGCATTGATTGGTTGAGATGGATTGTCATTACCTGTTTGGCCTTGAACTTAGGTCTCTCAAATCTCTACCTTCCCAGCAGCTAAGATTACAGGCTGAGCCACTGGGACTGGATACAATTTTTTTTTTTTTTTTAAATACAGTAGTGCCAGGGCTTGAATTCAAGGCCTTGCACTCGCTCTACTTGCTTGCTGCTATTCTACCACTTGAGCCACACCTCCAGTCTAGTTCTTTGCTGGTTTTTTCAAAGTTACAGTCTTTTGGACTTTTCTGCCTGAACTAACTTTGAACCTTGTTCCTCTAGATCTCAGCCTCCTGAGAAGCTTGGATTATGAGCCATCAGTGCCAGTGTAGGTCTATGTTTTCAGTGAGGAAAATAAACAAGTAGGAATTACAGCTAATTTTTCCTGCTAACTTCAGAGAAGCCTCTTTGGCTGCCAAGGAAAGCATGTTTGGCCCTCTTAAAAGACTTTTAGAAATAGACAAACAGGTGTTAGTATAAACATGTATTAATAAGGGCCTTGCATTTGCAGAATATATCTTTAATTATAGCCTACAAAATATACTGCAAAAAAATTGCCAGCAATTGTTTTTAACAAATATTGAATACTTTATAGTTAAGACATGCTGGAGAGGTTAGATGCTGCTTGCTCACACCTGTAATCCTAACTACTCACACCTGTAATACTAGCTACTCAGGAGGCTGAGATCTGAGGATCTTGGTTCAAAGCCAGCTCAGGCAGGAAAGCCCTTGTGAGACTTTCATCTCCACTTAATCACAGAAAAACCAGAAGTGATGTTGTGGCTCAAGTGGTAGAATGCTAACCTTGAACAAAAAGGAGCTCAGGGATAATACCCCAAGTCCAGAGTTCAAGTCCCAAGATCAGCAAAAAACAGACAAGCTGGAGAATTATTGTACTTTGTTGATGATTTTGCACATGAATACACTGAAATAGCTTTTATTTAGGCAGTACTTGGGGTCTGAACTCATAGCCCTCTACTGCATTCAAATATAGTCTTTAGTTTCATCAATATTTTGTTTATCTCTACTGCCAAAGTTACCTTTTAAGTTTAGAGGATTGCCTCAACTCAATCACTTTTTTTTTTTTGTCGGTCATGGAGTTTGAATTTAGGGCCCGAGTACTCTCCCTGAGCTTTTCTGCTCAAGGCTAGTGCAGTACCACTTTGAGCCACAGCTCTACTTCAATTTTCTAGGTGTTAATTAGAGATAAGGATCTCACAGGGACTTTCCTGCCAGGGCTGTATTTGAACTGGGATACTCAGATCTTAGCTTCCTAAGTAGCTAGGATTACAGGCCTGAGCTACCAGCGCCCAGCTTTAATCATATTTTTACTGATTAAAATGTAAAGAGTTTAGGCAGCTCTTGGATGTTGCCTAAAGTAGATTTACTAGATTTTTTTGTTTCGATTGAAACTTTTGTAACTTCATTTTTAAAAAAGTCTAATAAAGGCCAGTTTTAAAAAGGCATTAGTCTGTTCTTTTTAAATTTCCAAAATGATGTATTTAGTATGTATGCAGATTCCTTGATACATTAAAAAAACAAGAACAAACGAAAAAGTCTGATTTATCAGGAACTTTGCAAAGTTTTTTTCAGTTATTTGGAATTATAATTATCTGTTTAATATAACTATACATCTAGTATAATATATACATCTAATGTAGCTATAGCATCTAATAATTTAAAGAATGACAGAGCTGAGATAGTTACATTTCTATGCAAAGCTGAAACTAAACTACCCTCTACATACTACATTTTATCCCCCTTTTATAATTATCTCATCTGAAGGTATACAAACATTATTTTACTATGTGACCATAAAAATAACAATTCTACTGCCACTAATAAGGGATCAATAATTGTTTCTATGACTGTTTGTTTCTATAATTGTTTCTATAAGTAAAATTTTGTAAAAACTGTCACAATCTTAAAATCACAATTCCAGGATCAGCGTCATCATGCCTATAACAGATAAAACAAGTCCAAGAACCTCACGGGCTTTGTTGTACCAAACAAATGAAAAACAGATTGATTTTAGACTGTAGGTCTATGCAAATAAATAAGTAACAAAAAAATCCCATACTTTTTTCCTCTGTGTATGCTTAATTTCTTACACAAATAACAAAAACACTCACTTCAAGAATAAACTCCTTAAAAAAAGTCCAAGAGTTGATAATCAACTCCTAAGTTTTATGCACTTTTTTTTCCTACTTCGATCAAATTCCAACATATTTAAGCAAGAACGTCTTGTTAGTGTGAGTATGTGAGTCTGTAAGTGTTCTGAGCTCTGCAAGGTTACGTATGTCCCATGTTGCTTTTGGTTTCCCATCTCTTCTTTGCTTCAAACCCCCATGCCAGCTGCTGCTGCTTTCTAGCAGCTTGTGAATTTTCAGCTTCCTTTTTGGCTTCTACAAACTTGTGGCAGGCAGTTGCTTTGGCAATTTCAAGACCTGACTTTTCAACTTTTTTCTTTTTCACAGGAGGTTCAAATCTATCATTGGCTCCAAAATACGGAGTAAGCTCCTTCCACTGGGCTTCATTTAAGGACTGTTCACTATGAGAGTCTTTTTCATTCTTCAACTTACCTTTCCTGGAGCGCTTTCTTTTTCTTCCTCTGAATCTTGAGGCTGAAGTTTTCTGCTCAGAATGTTTTTTAGGCAATTCTTGAAATTTATTCCACATATTTATGGGAATTCCAGAAGGGCACTCTTCATATGCTTTTACCTGGACCTGGGGCTCAGTTGCTGGCTTATCCTCTGGGAAATCTGAAGCATCTGATTTCCTACTGGTCCCATCCTCTTTTAACTTCTTGTAAGTTAAATTTGGAGTTCCCAGGTATGGCTTCATCTTCAGGATTTGACGCTATCATTTTCATTCAGGCCAGGAGGCAGTAGCCCACTCCACATCCTTTCGGCCAGTAAACAGCTGCCCGGCAGCCATGTTAGGACCTCATCAACATTGTGCCTTCTCATTGGCTGCGTCATCCCAGCCAAATCCAACGTTTTATATTTAAAAAATGGTCAAATTTTTTTTCTTGCAAATACAATAATAACTGCAAACAAAGAATTTTCCACTTCAAAGCTGGGTATGGTGGTACTCACCTGTAATCCCAGCACTTAGGAGTAGAGGGAGGAGGGTGGCAAGTTCCAGGTTAGCCTGCACTGCTACCTAGCAAGATCTTGTCTCAAAAAGCAATAAACAGGGCTGGGAAGGTGGCTCAGTGGTAGAATGATTGCCTTGCATGCCTGAGGCCCTAGGTTCGATTCCTCAGCACCATATAAGCAAAAAGAAAAAAGCCGGAAGTGGTGCTGTGGCTCAAGTGGTAGAGCGCTAGCCTTGAGCTGAAGAGCTGAGGGACAGCGCCCAGGTCCAGAGATCAGGCCCCACGACCAGACCAAAAAAAAAAAAAAAGCAATAAACAAAGAAGAATTTTCCACTTCATACTGAAAACACTGCCCCTTGCAGGAAGGGTCATATGTTCTGCTAGCGGGGAATACAGAAACTTTCTCACTTCCTAATATTGACACTGGGGACTGTCAAAGTGGGAACATTTCCTCCCATAAACATCCATAAGGGAAAATAGGGAAATTTACTGCTTGTTAGAATCCAATGAGTTCAGTAGATTAGTGGTGGCAGTACTTTGCTATATCAGGTAGAGCAATTTACATGAAAGAGAGATCCTTCCCCGCTTGAGTCTTCTTGCTATGTTGAGACATTTGCTGATGTTATTACCATCATGTGACAAATTTATTTAGGAAAACTGAACAATTTAGTTGGCTGTTGCTTCCAGGAAAGAAGACAAAGTTGGCTTATGCTAAGTGTTGGTAACCCCCAACTGTAATCCTACCTACCTATGAAGCTGAGACCTGGAGGATCCAAGGTTGAAGGCCCAAGCAGAAAAACCCATCTCCAATAAAATACCAGTCTGGAGGCATGAATCAAGTGATAGGGCATCAGCCATAAACAAGAAAGCTGGGTGTAAAAACTTGAGTTCAAAGCCAGGCACTGGTAGCTCATGCCTGTAATCCTAGCCACTCAAGAGGCTGAGATCTGAGGATCACAGTTCAAAGCCAGCCTGGGCAAGAAAGTCTGTGAGACTCTCATCTCCAATAAACCACTCAGAAAACTGGAAGTGGTGCTGTGGTTCATGTGGTAGAGTGTTAGCCTTGAACTGAAGAGCTGAGGGGGCAGCACCCAAGCCCAGAGTTCAAGACCCACGACCCACCAAAAAAAAAACAAAAAAAACTTGAGTTCAAGCTCCTATCCCACACCAGCACAAAAAGAAAAAAGGAAAAAAAATTCTCCTAGCCAATATTTCTAAACAGAGATTACTGAAATAGCAAATTGTTTCTTTTGAGGCTAGACAAGCAAAGGACCCTTTTCATTATGTATATTACTGTTTTGGTTGAATTCTTCACCGCCTTAATGCAATCAATGATGTACATTTATGTACTGAATAGACAGCTATAATGAATATTCATGCCTTGAAATTTAAATTAACACAATACCCAGAAAATTAGGATGTTCTGGATAATTGAATTGTTTTTAGAGTTAATCTAATTCCTTTTGGTTTCAGCACTTGGTGGCAAATTGTTCTGTTTTTTGTTCCTTTATTATTTTAATAAATGAACTTAATAGTAAATATAATTTAAATACTCTTTTTGTTGTTGGTGGTGGTGGTTGTGGGGCCTGAACTCTGGGCCTAAGTACTGTCCCTCAGCTCTTCAGCTCAAGGCTAGCACTCTACCACTTGAACCACAGCACCACTTATGGTTTTTGTTGCTTATGTGATGCTAAGGAATTGAACCCAGGGCCTCATACATGCAAGGCAAGCACTCTACCACTGAGCCACCTTCCCAGCCTTTTAAACACTCTTTGTGTACAGATCTTACACTGTTAAAGTTTCTAGTCAAAAAGGATTTTGTGTGTGTGTGTGTGTGAAAATACCGTACAGAGGGGTTACAATTACATGGGTAAGGTAATGAGTCTTACCAAGCATTGTTGCCTCCTCCTTTGTTTACCCTTCCCATCCTTTCCCATTCCCCCCCCCTCCCCAAGAAGGATTAGTGCCACGCGTTTGTTGGTGGCTCACACCTGTAATCCTGGCTACTCAGGAGGCTGAGATATGAGGATCTTAGTTCACAGTCAGCCCAGGCAGAAACTTCCATGAGATTCTTATCTCCAATTAACCACCAGAAAAAGGGAAGTGGAGCTGTGGCTCAAAGTGGGAGAGCACTAGCCTTGAATAGAAAAGCTCAGGGACAGTGCCCAGACCCTGAGTTCAAGCCCCATGACCAGCAAATAAAACAAAAGAGGGATTAGTAACAAGTACTGGTCACTGATGGCTCACATTTGTAATCCTAGTTACCTAGGAGGTTGGATCTGAGGGTCATTGTTTAAAGTCAGCCTGGGCAAAGAAGTCTGTGAGACTCTTATCTCCAATTAACCACCAATAAGATGGAAGTAAAGGTGTTACTGAAGTGTTAGTGTGCCATCCTTGAGTGGAAAAAGATAAATACTCAGGCCCTGAATTGAAGCCCTAGTAGACACACACACACACACACACACACACACACAGCCATAGCAACATAACTGACAGTAGAGGACTTGTTGGGCACAACATCCTGATACATCTGCAGGGGGAGAGGGATCATGGTCAGTCTGTGAATCTGTGCTTCATAACAGAAGCATAGATAGCATCATTCTAAAGATCGTTGTCACCCAAGTATTCATTTAGCTCCTGATCTGCTGGTAACATTCTGTTCTACAAAAATGCCATCTCTCAAGGTCTAGTTGGGGATATGAAACAAATATAGATAATGTTTTAAAATCCAAAGACCTGTGGTTATCATGTGAGAGTTTAGGTCAGTATTAAAACATTTAAGAGTAAGGAAAGATTAGTGTTTTACAACCATTGGTAGAGGCTGTTTGAAGAAATTGCCTGAGGATTAGGGTGTCAGTCCGTGGTACAACATGTGCTTAGCATATGCAAGACTCTGGGGTCAATCCCAGAGCACTCCCACAAAAAATCATACAAAGAACAACTTTGGTTCTGTGGAGAAGGGAGCATAAATATAACCCTAAATATAACCCTGGTAGAAAATACAAGGAAGTACCAACTTAAATGAAGATGTATTCTGGGAAGAGAAAGAAAATTCAGAAGAGCTATATTTCTCCCAGGATATTGGGATCTGAAATGGATCTCAGAAACAAGTCTGAATATTGCTATTTTACCTATTCAACTAAATCCTAGTGACTTGTTTGCATATATATACATATATGTATTATTATTTCCTTCTTTATGAACACCAGATAAAAGGCAGACATTTAATTGGAAATGTCTTAATGATTTCAGTTCATTGAAAATGGGCTGGGTTTTGTTTAAGTGGATTCTAGAGTTAGTGATAACCTAATCACAAGCCTCCAATAAGTATATAGTTTCTACTGCTTTTTCTTAAAAATACATAATACATGTGTGTGTGCTTGTGGTTTTGTTTTAGAAAAGCCAATGAGGGTTTGAAGATCATAAACCCAGAAGAGACAGCACCCTCTATGCGATTGCTGGCCTATGGTAAGTAGGAACTGGGAAGGTAACTCAGTGGTAGAGTGCTTGGCCTTGCATGCATGAGGCCCTGGGTTCGATTCCTCAGCACATAAGCAGAAAAAGTCAGAAGTGGCGCTGTGGCTCAAGTGGTAGAACGCTAGCCTTAAGCTGAAGAGCTGAGGGACAGCGCCCAGGCCCAGAGTTCAGACCCCATGACCAGACCAAAAAAAAAATCAGACTTGACAAAGAAACCATTTTTATCTTTGTGGATTTCTATTTCTCTTTTATGAACATACATCAGTTGTACAAAATTGTTGCCCTGTGATATCTCCAACTATCTTTGTAGGTTTCAAGCAACATTTCATCCCACCTCAGCCTATTAGTATACATTATTTCCACAGATTTCCTGTTCCTTATAAAATGAAAGTGATTGCTAGTAACCCTTACATGTTTTCCCCTTAAATTCTAACCATTTTTTTTGTCAGTTGTGGGCTTGAACTCAAGGCCTGGGTACTGTTCCTGAGCCTCTTTGTGCTCATAGCTAGTGCTCTACCACTTGAGCCACAGCACCACTTCCAGTTTTTGAGTGGTTAATTGGAGATAAGAGTCTCATCCGGGGACTTTTCTCCCTGGGCAGGCTTTGAACCCTGACCCTCAGATCTCAGCATCAGCCTCCTGAGTAGCTAGGATTACAGGTATGAGTCCCAAATGTTAAATAATACCAATTTCAAAGTGAATGTGATTCACTTTTCTGTGGATATTTACCAAAACTTTGTAACGAGAAAGACTCTGCATATGAATGCAGTTAATACTCCTGTGATCAGATCTAGGTCCCTAAGTTGAGTCACCTCAATGTGGTCCAGGGATCACACCTTACAGTATTACCCTCCATCTCTGTTCTGGTTCTAAACCATCGAACTTAACTTTGTAGACTCTTTTCAGAAACCAGAATCAGAGGTTCCATAATCCTCTGCCTCCTGTACTGCTTCTGTTTCTTGATCTTTATCTTCTCTATTTCATTTCTCTGCTACATGAACCTTTTTTCTTTCCCTTTCTCTCTTTCATTCATCACTTAACCAAACATGAGCCTTTCCAGAGTGAGCTGTCCAATATATCAGCAACAGCATATGTGTTGGGGTATAGCTTAAGTGGTAAAGTGCCTGCCTAGCAAAGCGCAAAGCCCTGAGTTCAAACCCCAGGACCACCAAAATAAACAGAACAGTATAAGTTATTTTCCCCTTCAAGGAGATAGTATTCCCTAGTCCTTGGACATTTAATTTAAAGACAAATTTAAAAAAGAGCAGAAGGAGGGACACTTTATTTGAAGAGAAGTCATAGCAGGGTCTAACTGATTTTTTTCTTTCCTCTTTAGTTTCTGGCTTGGGCTTTGGAATCATGAGTGGAGTATTTTCCTTTGTGAACACTCTGTCTGACTCCTTGGGGCCAGGCACGGTGGGCATCCACGGAGATTCACCTCAGTTCTTCCTTAACTCAGGTATGTGTCCAACAGTATGCCTACCTCAGGCTTCTGTCCCAAACTGTTGGAATTCTCTGGCTTAGGACTTTAGGTGGATTGAGACTTACCTTATACCTTTCAAAGATAAAATACTCTCAGGCACTACAAACTGAAGAAATGAAGAATTGTGGTTAGAGTGTTTAGGATTTTTGAGTAATATTTAGCTTCCATAAAATTTATTACTATTTGGCTATCCTAATAATGTTACTGTACAGTTAAAATATTAGAAGTTAATTTTAGTAGGTTATGTGTGCTTTTCTGACTTTATATTTATTTTTAATTGATATTTCTTATTAATTAATATCAGTGGTTTTTGGAGCTAGGCAATAGATTTAATCTCAAAATTGAGAGGAAATAATAATGGTTGTTCTTTGGGTTGGTTTTTTTGTTTTGTGTTAGTGTTGTTTTGTTTTGATGGTCCTGGGGTTTAAACTTGGGGCCTCACAGTTGCTAGGCAGGCACTCTACTACTTATTTTTGCTTTATGCTGGGCTAGCCTGGACTATTATCCTCCTATTTATGCTTGCCATCTTGCTGGGATGATAGGCCCCTCCATCACACTCAACCATTGAGTGTGAGGTGGAGTTCTATGAATTTTAGGTTTTTTGTTCGGGATATTTTGGTTGTTTTGTTGTTGTTGTTGTTTGTTGGATTTTTGGCCCAGTCTGGCCTCAGACCACTATCTCCCTATTAAGTATTAAGTGTGAACTATTGTGCCTGGCTGAATTGCTCTTTTTGTCTAAAGGTTCAGCTAACAGGTCCACAAACTCATTTCATATCACCAGCTAAAAATTGTCATCTCAATGCAGTGACCACAGATTTGAGTTAGTACTATATATGTAATTAACAAAGGATACCTTTAAAGTCCTCAAGTAGACTATAAATAATAGAGGGCGAAAATACATTGTAGTTGTCTACACAGCTGTTATACCACTGAAATAAGTTGACCCCACAACCCAACTTTTAATTAAGTCATCATTCACATGTAGGCTAAAGCTCTGAAAGGAGCTTGCCTCTAGTGGGAGGAAAGGAAAAGCTTAAGAAAGTAATAAAAAGGTATAAAAAGGTGGGAACAATTTAAAAACCATTGCCACCGTAGTTCAGAGACATTCCTCATATAGTAGCAATCCCTAAACCCAGCACGCTGTCCCCATTCTCAGTGGACCCTCTGTCCCTCAGACTGTGATCAGTTCAGGTCTTGCAGCTCCTATCCAGACTGATGACACTGACCCCAACTTTATCAGGGAATCCATCCTGCAGGCAGCTACCTGCAGGCTGAAGAGTTTTTGACTTTCAAGGTCGATAGGACCAAGTGGTGGACTTTTAACTGGCTACAAGTCAGAGGTCAGGGAACAGTGAACAGGTCATAGTTATTTCATGCACATTCCTTTTCTAGAAAAGTTCTAGAAAGATCTTTTGTCTTTATAATAATGTTTACTTAATCCTACTGAAGGGTTTAACATTGAGACTTAAGTTTTTTAAACAGCAAACTGATTTTTTAAAATTAAAATCATGTTAACAGCTAAAAAATACCCTTACATTCTAGTCAAGAGAATAAGTTTAAGCTAGGCTCTGGTGGCTCACGCCTGTAATCCTAGCTACTCAGGAGGCTGAGATCTAAGGATCATAGTTCAAAGCCAGCCCCAGCAGGAAAGTCCATGAGACTCTTATCTCCAATAAACCACCAGAAAACAGGAAGTGACCCTGTGGCTCAAGGGTAGAGTGCTAGCCTTGAGCTGAAGAGCTGAGGACAGCGCCCAGGCCCAGAGTTCAAGCCCCACGACTGATTAAGAAAAAAAAAAAAAAAAGGAGTAAGTTTAATTTCTGAACTGGAGCTATAGTATATTCTTAGCACTTGGCTTTGTTAACTACTGCCTGTCTTGTTGGAAAGAACTGTACAAGTAAGAGCTATTCCAGCAATTAAGTCAGACCTTAAAACCATAAAGTTTTAGTGTAACACATAATTCTAGATTTTATTTTTAAATTCAAATCAGTTTCCTTCAGTTTGATGATTGGGACCTGATAAACCAAACATTTTCTTTTTGAATAAAAGCAATTTGGCTCTTTGCAGATACACTTTCACATTTCAGATAATCTAGGGATACAAGCCAAGGTAAACTTACTGGCAAACTTTTAAATGATTACACTGAGTGTAAGATTTTTAAAAGAAATATAATATTAATAAAGTCTTTTGGAGTCATAAATGAATAAAGTGTACTCACTAGGGGTGTTTACTTCCTACATTTTCTGTATTTTCTTTCGGTGGTTACATTGCTACAACTGTTCTACCAGTTTCTTCCACTAAGTGGTGCTAATTCTCTTCAGTGAAGTAGGCTGTTTTCAGAAAGCTAGTTTAAAATGATTCTTTTAGGATAAAGATTTGCTAGCACTGTGGGAAATACATATTATATATATATGTAATTTCCATTAATTTAAGTAAAAATACTGTATTTGATAGATAATCTTTTTTTAATTATTAAGTTTTTTTGATTGTGAAAATCCGTACAGAGGGGTTACAATTATATGAGCAAGGTAATAAGTACATTTCTTATCAAGCATTGTTGCCTCTTCCTTTGTTTCGCCTTACCATCCCTGCCCTCCCATCTTGCCACTCCCCCATCCGCCCTCAAAGTTGTAAAGTTCATTTTTCGATATAACGTCTTGTACATCTCATTGTTGCAATGGGTCCACCTGTATCCCTATTAAAACAATTTGTTTTTTCCCTTCCCCTCCACAAATTATACCAATATCAAATACAGTGAAAACAGGGGTTATAGCCTAGGGGAGGGGCATACGAAGCAACAAAAAAGCATCTTATATATATATATATGTTAGAAACAATCGCAAGAAAGAAAAACCGTTTGAATCCTTAGATAGATATCTTTTGTGTGGGAGAGGGAATACTGGAGCTTGAACTCAGGGCCTGGGTGCTGTCTATCCCTTAGCTTTTTCCCTCAAGGCTGGTGCTCTCCCACTTGAGCCACAGTTCTACTTCTGGCTTTTTGCTAGTTATAAATAAGAGTGTCTTCAGTTTGTCTTCCAGCTGGCTTTGATCCTTGATCCTCAGATCTCAGTCTTCCTATTTAAGGATACAAATATGAGCCACCAGCACCCATCATTGATATCTTAATGTCTATAGTAAGGGTGAGGATGGCAGCCTGTGAATAGGCATCTGTAGAATGAAATAAATATTGTAAATTTATGTAAGTTTCTTGTTACAAAATCATTCTTTGTAGTATCAACTTTGAATTATACATGTAAGAAATTAATTTTAGGGCTGGGAATGTGGCTTAGTTGTAGAGTGCTTGCCCAGCATGCATGAAGCCCTGGGTTCAATTCCTCAGTACTACATAAACAGAAAAAACTGAAAGCAGTGCTGTGGTTCAAGTAGTAGAGTGCTAGCCTTGAGCACAGAGAGGCTCAGGGACAGTGCCCAGGCCCTGAGTTTAAGCATCAGGACTGGCAAAAAAAGAAAAGAAAAATAATTAATTTTATTTAAGCATACCCTGTATACGTGTGTGTGTGTGTGTGTGTGTGTGTGTGTGTGTGTGTGTGTGTGTGTGTGTGTGTGTGTGTGTGTGTGTGTGTTGCAGGCCACTGTTGGAGTCACTCGTGTCTCCTTTCTCACAGAAATGAGGGGCTCATCCCAGCTGTCTACCTCTCAGCTAAGGCAGCCTTCATTCCTTTGTCTTTGTTGGCCTGTTTCTTCCATGTGTGTGAATGGTTCTTACTATATTCTTCATCCATTGCAACAGTACATTTAGTGTTTAGTGTTTTTCTTCACCGGATTTCACGTGGATTTTTTTTTAATAGCCACAGTAGGCAGGGGGCTACTCTGAAAAGATGATTAGCATTGAACCAAAGTCATACTTTTAAAAAATCATCCAGGGTGGTAACTTCATTCAGCCCATGGGAATATGATTTTTGCCCTTTAAGTCCTGCATGAATGATTTGAAAGGGCAAAAACATAGTCTGTCTCACGCTTTCCTCATCAGTGTCAGCGTGACCTGTGGCTGTCAGATACGCAAAAAATCTTGGCACACAATGTTCTGTTCTAGCCCCTTCCCTGATGGTACACTTCCTTGGTACAGCCTCTGCACCAGTTCATTCTTCTGTCTCTTCATGACTCTGCTAAGGAGGGTCAGAGTGTCGACATCAGCCCACTGCATTGCTCAGCTTCTAGGGAAATTGCTCCCATTTTATTGGTATACTCAGATTTTCAACATTATTCCAGGAACAAGGTTTTGCCAAATTCCCCAGAACCAGACTTTTCTTATATGCATAACGTGTTTAGAAATCTTGGCAATTCTTTTGATGAATTAGTCAACCTTAAGGTTTCCCTGAAGGGGTAGGTCTATGAGATTTTATTGCTTCTCTATGATTTTAAAGTTGTCACCGAAGACTTAGAAATGGAAATGTTTTTTGAGGCTGAAGTCTGATTCAGGTGGTAAGCTGCATTTCCATCTCTAGTTGGGCCTCTCTCCTTCCATTCAGTAGAGGCAGTTCAGAGTACTGCTGACTTGCCTGGAACAATCCCTGATGGTTTTTCTCATAACTCATACCCAGTCCGACTGCTGATCTCTTCTCCAGCTTTCATTTCAGTCTTCAGGCCTCAGGAGTTGGTAGATTTGAGTGCCAATTTGGAGCAAATATATTTAAAGAAAAGAAAATCCGGCTGGGCATGGTGGCTCATGCCTGTAATCCTAGCTACTCAGTTGGCTGAAATCTGAGGATCTCAGCTCAAAGACAGCCTGGGCAGGAAAGCCTGAGACTCTTATCTCCAATTAACTACCAGAAAACCAGAAGTGTGGTGCTGTGGCTTAAAATGGTAGAACACTAGCCTTGAGCAAAAGAGCTCAGGGACAGCTCCCAGTCCCTGAGTTCAAGCCCGTGACTGGAAAAAAAAAAAAATCTTATGGTGCTAATACTGTACTAGGGCACACTTTCATTAGAAAGTCGGTGAAGCATTTTTGAACAGTAGTAGAACACTTCCTGCTACTGAGCATACATCTTCCATTAAGACCTGTGAGCACTGCCTTGGGCCCCATGTTCCCAGGGCACTTTCAGCCACTGAGATCTGGCATGTCTGTGTAGAGCAGAGTTCTCAACAAAGCCCTGCTGACATTGAGGGGATTTCCCAGGTAGCCAAACTCCAGGACATGGTTTTAGCAGCCTACTTGGATAGTCTCAGTATTCATGGTGATGCATAGAGTTAATAAGATGCCAAGCAGGTTAACATGTTGCTTTCTCTTGATGCTTGATTGATGTTTAGGTTTTAGAATATCCTTTGAGTATGAATACTTCATGATTTAAAAAAAAAGATAGTGTTCTCTTGTGCCAGTTTCTGCCTTCCTTGATGTATAGAAACTTTAAATCCCCTACTTAATGCCTTGACACCTTCAGTGGCCACAAAAATAATCACTGGGATGATCGGTCTTTGCCTGGAAGTTTTCATAACTATTCTTCTGCTTCTACTTTAGTTAAAGTATTTACTGTTGCTTACTAAAATTATGACACTAATACACAAGGATATAACAGCTTGCTTTCTCTAATCACAATAGATATGTCCTTTTAATATTATCTTATATATATGTATACATATATTGCTTCATGTAGATAAAACAGTAGGTTATTTTTTTACAATGTGTTTTCATTCAGTGTTATGTTCTGGCATTTATTTGGTGAGTTATGCATAGTATTTATATTGGAAATCAGCATTTATGTTAGAAATCATATATGGTAATCCTTGTGTAGATATACTGTGGTTTATGCATTCTGGTTATGATGGACATTTTTTGTACAAACTGCTGAAATGAATATTCTTGGCTGTACATTGTAACTCAAGTGTAGAATCCCAGCTACTTGGGAGATGGAGAACAGACACAAGGATAGTAGTCGAGGCAGCCCAGCCTGTCAGGCACAATGGTGCATACATACCATAGATAGGAGGATTGAGGTCGAAGGCTAGTGCTGGGCAAAAACAGAAGACCCTATCTGAAAAATAACTAAAGCAGAAAGAGGCAGGGAGAGTGGCTTAAGTCATAGAGTGCCTGTGAAGCAAGTCCAAGGCTCTGAATTCAAACCCCAGTACTAGCAGTATACATATACTAGCATGTGTGCATACATATGCGTACATGTGATACATTTGTATATATCACCTTGGACACAATTATACGAATGTCTCCAGAGCAGGACTGCTAAAGCCTGACCAAGCATCAGAACCACCCTGTTGTTTCTCGGTCGGTGTAGGGTACATCCTAACAATTTGCATTTCTAACCAGTTTCCAAATGCTGGAGACTTACTGGTTGAGACCTGTCGAGGGCATCAGTCTAGCCTGGAATCGCTTGAGTAAAATTAAGATGTAAAATTTTCACTTTTATTAGTAATGGTTGTTTCCCTTCAAGCTTTGTGAAAGAGTTCCCAGATATGAATTTTTCTATGTGACGAGTGCTTATGATTTCTTTATTATGTGACAAGGAA